TTTTTTTTTTTTTGGACATGGAGTTTTGCTCTTGTTGCCCAGGCTGGAGTGCAATGGCACGATCTCGGCTTACCACAACCTTAGCCTCCTGGGTTCATGTGATTCTCCTGCCTCAGCCTCCCGAGTAGCTGGGATTACAGGCATGTACCGCCATGCCCAGCTAATTTTGTATTTTCAGTAGAGATGCGGTTTCACCATGTTGGTCAGGCTGGTCTTGAACTCCCAACTTCAGGTGATCCACCCGCCTCAGCCTGCCAAAGTGCTGGGATTACAGGAGTGAACCACTGTGCCCGGCCCATGTGAATTAATTTATACTCCTCCTAAGATCCCTCCCATCACTAAGATTCCTTTATTTTATGACAAAATCATAGTTCTAGAAGCTTGTTTCTCCCACCTGAAAAGACTGGATTTGGGACATGATCCTGTAGAACTTCAGAGGTAAGCCTGGTGAATCTAAGCACAGGGGGTCTGGAGGGTGAAAAAAACCAGTTTGGTGCTCATAGATGGGACTAGTATTGGGGTTGGGGGGTGATTAGGTCAAAGCAAGAGGATTCAAAGGGGAAATGAATTCCTTCAGCTTGGGGAAGATAATCAGAAGAGGTAGATGACGCCATCCATGACATTTCCTGGGGAAGCAGATGTATGTATAAATGTGAGTGCTGTGATTTTGTAAAGAATGCATTCCTGAGATGTTGCATAATTTAAAACCTACATATTTGGATTAATTTTCTCTGGGGAATAGCAGGACATGTGTTCTCAGGGTTCATGAATGTATAATCCATTGTGGCATATTTTTGCTTTAATTTTTAAAATTTATTATTGTCACAGGTTCTGTGACAGAGTTCTGGTTTCTAAATTCATAGCATATCAAGGTTCTTGATAAAGTTCCTGATGCTGTTTTATCATATCTAATGTGTATTCCAAAATGGTTGATTCGGGGGCACATTTTTCTAGCACTAGCACCTCTATTTAATGGTTGGTTGGAGAGGGGTCTAAATTTTCTAAAATTATGTTGAAAAATAATACAGCAACAAAATAGTAAGCAAAATCACTGCCAGAGTATTTCTTAGCTTGAAACACTATGATTCGCATTGATAGAATATGTTATCTATTTCTGTTTAATCAGTTAGCCCTGCTAAGTAGAAAGAGCTTACAATTCATGATCATGATTTTAATAGTTTTTAAAAAAAATGTGGGCTCTCTATATATACTGTATATAACATTTTGCATATAAGACTTAATTTTGCCTGGGTATGGTGGCTCATGCCTGTAATCCCAGCAATTTAGGAGGCTGAGGTGGGAAGATTGCTTGAGCCCAGGAGTTCAAGACCAGCCTGGGCAACATAGTGGAACCCCATCTCTTAAAAAAAAAAATTAGCTAGGCATGGTGGTGCACACCTGCAGTCCCAGATACTTGGGAGGCTGAGGTGGGAGGATCACTTGAGCCCAGGAGGTCACAGCTGCAACAAGCCATTATTGCACTATGACACTCCAGCCTGGGTGATAGAATGAGACTATGTCTAAAAAAAAAAAAAAAGGACAAATTTTTATATCACACTATTTCTAAATTTATGGCTACATTATACCATATAAACATGGCTTCTTAGGTAAGAAAAGAGGACAATACAGAAGAAAAAGAGATTGATCCTACCAGAAGTGATCCTTCTATCTGCATAACTCTCAAGCAGTTGTGGCAAATAATTTGCAATATCTACCCTATTGTTCTGAAACTGGTTTTCACAACTTTTATTGGGAACACCATTCCCGCTCCTGCATGATCAGTTTCTCCTCTCCACGGATCATTCATTACCAGCAGTCAGTGGTGTGCTGGTAAATGTTTAAGATCTTGTTCTTTGCGGGAAGAAGGTCCTAAGTTGTGGCAGTTGCTCTGGACAACTTCAAGGTATCACCGTGGAAATTATGTGCAAAATCGGCTGTCACGAGCCAGTATGAGCTAACGCCAACACACCACTGAGTGTTCTTCAAACTTCGGATCACAGCCCATTGGTGGGTCTTGCAAACATTTTAGTGGGTTATAAGCAGCATTTTTAAAAATCAAAAAGTAGTTTGCTTTACACATGAGTATTGTTTTGTTAAAAAAAAATTTTTTTTTTTTTTTTTTTTTTTTGAGACACAGTTTGGCTCTGTCACCCAGGCTGGAGGCCAGTGGTGCAATCTCAGCCCACTGCAACCTCCGCCTCCTGGGTTCCCGTGCCTCAGCCTTCTGAGTAGCTGAAATTACAGGCATGCGCCACAGGGCCCAGCTAATTTTTGTATTTTTAGTAGAGACAGGGTTTTGCCATGTTGGCCAGGCTGGTCTTGAACTCCTGACCTCAAGTAATCCACCTGCCTCAGCCTCCCAAAGTGCTGGATTACAGGCTGGCCACTGTGCCCAGCCAAATTTTTTGTTTTAATAATTTTAAGTACATATGTAGTAAGTCTCAATGGAAATGTAATTCTTATCATAGGCCACTTAAAAAACAAAAAGTCTAAAAGTCGCCAGTGTAGTCTCTTCTCCTTTTAAAAACAAAAACAAGGGAAAACCTGAATCTCCCCTTTGCTCCACGGTCTCCTCAGCTATAATGCTGCCCCTCTATTCCTCCTCAGAGCAGAAAGCTTTGAAACATTTACGGTCACGGTTTCCACCAGTTCTTCACCTCACATTTTTCAACCCACTTTAGAGTCAGAGTCAGCAATGACTTTCATGTTACTAAGCCCATTGGTCACTTCTGTCTTCCTTGGTGTCTCAGCACACTTGGCACAACTGGCTGTTCCTTTTTTTTTTTTTTTTTAGACGGAGTCTCGCTGTCACCCAGGCTGGAGTGTAATGGCCCGATCTCAGCTCACTGCAACTTCCACCTCCTGGGTTCAAGCGATTCTCCTGCCTCAGCCTCCTGAGTAGCTGGGATTACAGGCACATGCCACCATAGCCAGCTAATTTTTGCATTTTTAGTAGAGATGGGGTTTCACCATGTTGGTCAGGCTGGTCTTGAACTCCTGCCTCTGCCTCCCAAAGCACTAGGATTACAGGTGTGAGCCACTGCGCCCGGCCTGTTCCTCTTTGGCATCTGTGACAACATTCTCATCAGATTCCCATGGTTGACCCTTCTCAGTCCCATTTATTGGTGTTATCTCCCCAGGGCTGTCCTAGGTGATGTTCTCCCTCTATCTATTCTCCTGGGTGGCCCATCCAATCCCGTGGACCGCGTATCATTCTCCCCTCATGCTTCAGCCGTGCTGATTGGTGGTCTTTGTTTCCCGAACACGTTTAATACATTCTCAAGACCCTCGGGGACTTTGCAGTAGCTGCTCACTCAGGCTGGAATGCTCTTCCCCACCATCTTCATATGGTTGTTTCCTTTCTTTCATTCACCAGCAGCTTAAAACTTTGCTTCCCCTGAGAGAATTTCCTTGTCACCCAACTAAGGTTGCCACTCAGGTGCTCCCAATTACATATATTAATCTTCTCTAAAGCACATTACTACGTGTGTCCTCAGCTAGAGTGTAAGCTCTCTTGAAACCAGAACAATCGGAACTCCCCGCCCTCATGGAGCTTATAGTCTTATGATGGGTGAAGTAAAATAAAATAAAAAAGGCACCTTCTGTAGTCTATTAGAATGACAAATGTTAGAAATAAAGCAAGGACGAGTTGATAGGGAGTGTGTATGAGTGAGTTTCAGGAGAGTGTTTACAATTTAAATATTGGTGGTCAGGAAGGGGCCCACTGAGAACTGACATTTGAATAGCCTTGAACGGGGAAAAGGAAACGCTGAGTAAAGGTTTTAGGATGGGAGTGTGGCGGGCCTGCGGGAAGGACAGCAAAGTCAGTGTGGCTGCTGCAGAAAAAGGGAGGAGGAAATAGTAGAAGATAAAGTCACAGCGTGTGAGGTTGGGGCAGATCATGAAGTGCTCCTGTAAGAACTGGATCTTTACTCAAACAATGAGCAAAAGTTAGTAGATGGGTGGCCAGACCCCAGTGGCTCACAGCTGAAATCCCAGCTTTGGGAGGCTGAGGCAGGTGGATCACTTGAGGTCAGGAGTTCGAGACCAGCCTGGACAACATGGTGAAACCCCGTCTCTACTCAAAATACAAAACTTAGTTGGGCGTGGTGGCAGGCAACTGTAGCCCCAGCTACTCAGGAGGCTGAGACACAAGAATTGCTTGAACCCAGAAGGCAGAGGCTGCAGTGAGCCAAGATCACACCACTGCACTCTAGCCTAGGTGACAGAGTGAGACCGTCTCAAAAAAAAAAAAAAAAAAAAAAAAAAAAAAAAAGGTAGGTTTTAGTAAGGGATTAACATGATCTGAATTATGTTTTGTCATCATCTCTCTGGCTGCTGTTGAGACTAAATTGTAGAGGGGCAAGGGCAAAAATAGAGAGACCAATGAGGCTATTGCAATAATAATGTAAGAGATGTGGGACTGTATCTAGAGGGGCCCATAGGTCCTTTGCATGCCAGTAGTATTCTTTACTGCTGTGCCTTGCCATGATACACATTCAGTGCATATTTGCTTATTTAAAATGGCACACCGGGCTCATTGAACAGTGCCAAGTTAGGGAGATATTTCTAGGAATACATTCTTAGGATTTATGGATATTTTAATCCAGATTTTCTTGTTAACTCTGCTCTCTGGCCCTTTTACTCAGCCCCATTTGCACCTAAACACCACTTACCAAAGAAACACAGCATTTATGTGTGCTTATGTCAACCTAGTTTACCTTTGTAAAGAAGTGCTAGGTAGACTCAGGGCCCAGCTTGGTGTCTCACGCCTGTAATCTCAGCATTGTGGGAGGCCAAGGTGGGAAGATCTTGTGAGCCCAGGAGTTTGAGACCAGCCTGTGCAACATAGTGAACCCCGTCTCTACAAAAAAATTCTAAAAATTATCTAGGCATAGTGGTGTGTGTCGATAGTCCCAGCTACTCCTGAGGCTGAGGTTGGATGATCACTTGAAGGAGACCTTGTCTCAAAGGAAAAAAAAAAAAAAGAGGCAGAATTGTGAAGATAGTCAATGGCTCCTGACTTTATCAATAATCTAACATTTCAACCTAACATTGATACCTATTGTATGCAAAGCATTACATTATGGACTGGGCAATGCGTAAGACAAGTTCCTTTTCTGAAACTACAGTCGAGATGGATAGATAAAACACACAACACACATCAAAAGGTAACTACACATCCAAGGCAGTGTGTGTCCAGGGTAAATTAAGCTATTCAGATTGGATCTTGGAAAGTGCATCAAACTTGGAAAATGGGTAAGGAGGAGAGAAAAGCAACAGAGTATCATAACATGAGTTTCCAGTTATGGGACTTGTAATGAATTCCTTAATTAAAATAAAAAATAATAAAAACAAAAGCCAGGGAGGAGAAAGCCCATGTTGGTGACTCTAAAATATCTCTTTCCAAATAAACGTGGATAAAAGCCAAGTAGAGAAGGTAAGAACTTCAAGGTCCCTAATCCAAAACAAACAGTAAGCAGCCAGCCATTCCAAGTGGCTGACATGACTTTAACCTTATTTGTATTTCTGGCTGGTGTTTTGCAGCCAATAGGTCAAACTGTCAGTCATTGCGGGCCCCTGAGAAGTTGGCTATTTACGGAGCATCTAATACGCACCGAATGTGCTCCATACTGCTTAAGTTGTTCCCTAAGTCAGGGTCTAATTTGGAGAGAACACCAACACACAAGGTAACTGGCGCGTGACGCAGAGTGGCCAGTTATCCTGCGTGTTACCACTGACGGGACGGGGCGCTTGGGACGGGCATCGCCCAGCGTACTGAAGCCTGCCCCAGCGTTTTACCCACACCCAGAGGTGTGTGCTGTCAAAAAGCAGCGCCTCCGAGTCCAGCTCTCTCTTCAGCACTGTCTGGACTCCGATCCGAGGCAGACGAGGAAGTAAGCTCCGAGAAAACGCTGGCGCTGGCCCCGCGCACCTGGGCGCCCCGGGAAGGCCGGCGCTGGGTCCAGGGAGGCGGGGCCTGCACGGTGACCTCCCTGGTCCTGAAAGGTCCCAGCCGCGAGCGCTCTCCCTCCTAGACCTGGAGGCTGGAACAGCCGGGTGGACGTCGGCCTACTTGCTGCGGGAGAGAAAGCCTTTCTCTTCTTTCCTTCCCATTTTCCTACCACCTCCCCAACTCCACCCTCGGGACAAAGGCAGCCAGATCCACCCAGGACACGTTTGTTTGTCTTTATCACTCTGCTCGTCCCACAGCGAGCCAGTCGCGGTCCAAGGCCCCAGAGGCTGTGCAGGAGGTCGGGCTGGGTGGCGGTCAGCGGCGGGGCCCTGGCCAAAATCCAGCAGAGTCGCCAGGACGCCCAGACACAGAAGACGGGGCGCGGGGAGGGTTGGGGGAACCACAGCGGTAAGGCGCGCGAGCCGGGACGTGAGCGAGGACTGACTCCTGTCGCTTCCCGTAGCCGCCCACGGACGCCCGAGCCGGGAACCCGGACGGCACCTAGCGGCGGACGGACAACCTCCTCCGTGGCGCGCCTGTGACACCAGTCCCTGGGTGAGTCGCGAGACCCCCGGCCTCGGGTGGCGGCAGTCGCTAGGGGCGTGGCTGTGCTGAGGGTCGCGCCAGTGGAGGATGGCATTCGGATGTCACGGCTCCTAAATCACAATTTGATGGGGGGACAGTGTCTAGTTCACCCTGACCCGCAGGTCCTCACCGCGGCAGAGCCCAGGCTGGGTGGCGGGGACGCCGCCTCTGCGGGCGAGGCGCTCCGGGACACAGGGGAATATCAGGAGTCGCGGCCTTCCTGGGACATCCCTGGCTGGGCTCAGGCTATTTGCCCTGGGGTGTCTCCTCGCTGCAAACCCACCCCACCTGGGCTGCTTTCTCACCTGCTCCCCCCTAGCCTGAGGCCGAGCGCCACCTCCAAGTGGAGGAATCTGGGGAAGTTTCCTTCCCGGAATTTGTAGCGACAGTGGAGTGACCTCCATTGCCCTCCCTGCCTCTCACACGCTCTTTAGGATGCCGAGTCATTTGACTGCAGCATTAAACATTACAAAGCGCAAGTCATGTGACTTCCTCTGCCCCTGTGTGAAACTTAAGTGATGGCTTCTGGTGACGCAAAGTGTTCCTGCTGGCGGGACCTGTCCCAGGGGATACTTCGGGGGTTGCGTGATTTAATGCAAGCCTGTGGCTTAAATTGGGTCACTCGCTGGTTATTATATATGTGTGTGGCAACTCGACATCCATTCTTTTTTGCTCTTGTTCTTGCTTCCTGAATGTCACAGAGCCAGAGTTTTGAGGTTTTGACTAACGTGTTAAGTTAACGACACAGGCTGGGCTATATTTAGGTGGTAAGCCAAGAGGGACACAGTTTTTTTCCTTAATAAAGGAAAACTAATAGATTTGATCAGTGTATATTGTTGGTGTGTAGTGTAATGACAGAATTGCTGGAAGTGAAATACAGGAAGCTCTAGTTTCATTTCCCTTTCAGTTCTGCTTAGAGTCATCAAGTTTTTTTTTTTTTTTGAGACGGAGTTTCACTCATTTTACCCAGCCCAGTTTACAGAAGTAAAAACTTAAATGAATACTTCTGGTAATTATACAGGACTGTTTGATTAGTATT